GCCTTTTGGAAGGCTGAGAGAGTGGGAAGGGTCCGGATCTCTGGGGGTAGATCGTTCCACAGGGCTGGAGCAGCTACAGAGAAGGCCCTCCCCCAAGGAGTCGCCAGCAGGCATTGTCCGGTCGACGGCACCGGGAGAAGGCCCATCCTGTGAGATCTTATCGGCCGTTGGGAGGTATTAAGGCACTAGGCTAGAATCCAAAGGTATTCCCACTTTAGGCATGAGAGCCAGTGGGGCCATTCACCAACTTGAATTATTTCTAAAAATAATAAAGGTGGAATATTAATTAATTAAAAACAAACAAATAAATAAATAAATGAAGTGTTCCAAAGCAGACTAATCTTCCAAAACTGGCACCTTCTAATTGTACTGAGACTGCAGAGCCAAGAATTCCCAGTCAGCATGACTAGAATAATACAACTTCAAAGTTCACAATAAATAAACCAATACTATCATATAAGGGGCCTTAATTCAGGAATACTTCCAAATAACTCTGGAAGAGCAAGATTAAAAGGAATGGCAAGATGAAAAGGAAAAGTCACACTTTGCACCTATTTCTTGTTCTCTTGTGATTGTAAGTGTAATTGTGTGCCAATCTAGCAATTGCACTACTTTAGTTGAATGTTTCTTTATGCATGCTGTAAAATATCCTTCTGATTTTTTTTCTTTGATTCAATCATGTCTGGTTCTTCAAGATTCCCCTGGCAAGTTTTCTTTAGCTTCTGACATTAGTCAAGATTCTGTTACTCACTAAAACATAATCTTTACAAAATCTATCAAACAGGTCAATTGCCTGAACTCAGCAAGAAGCACCTTACAGGCTTTTAAAGTGGTAATCAGCCTTTCTCATTAACTAGAAATAAACTAGCAGACACTTCAATAGTCTTCATGTCTTGCAAGTCTTTCAATGACCAGCTTAGCTTGAGTTCTTGTAGGAAGCCATGGAGATGACCTTGGAAAAGTTGTTAAGGCAACAATGGGTATTGAAGCATGTATTAATGTTGGAAGTGGGAGAAGGGTATTAGAAAAAAGAAACCTCAGATTTATTCTCTCCTCATTTACTGGAATAGGAGGAGGAGGAGGGGAGGAAAAACATAGGCAGGCTTGCAAGATTTTATTACTACAGCTGATCTCCTTAATTTTCCTGTGGAGTCAGTTTCGTGATCTGTTCTACCATGTAGAGTTGAAAGTTGAATACAAACTGGAAGTTTCTGAATTAGAGGCATAGACAACGTTATAAAGAGTGGGTTACAGTATTCATGCCTAAGCCTGATCTAGAAGCATTTGTAATATTATAACTCTGGCATTTCTGCCACAAAAGCAGATGGCAACATCCAGCAGACAGATCTGTTTAGTATTTAAATAGGACACCATCATGAAATCCTACCATAGACTATTTTCAGGAAATTTTTAAAAAACCATCCTGGAAAAAGGCACCCAAACCATTGTTGCCAAAAAAAACTATATAAGTAATTTTTGACTTACAACCATTCATTCAGAGTTTAGAAAGTGCTGATTAAAATGACCCACTTTGGCTGTTCATACAGTTGTGCTGTCTTTGGAAAGTCTTTGACAAGATAGCCAGTTTACAAAGACAGAGGAGGTTTCTGAAGACCCAGGGAGTCACAGATAGGAAATGTTCACCAGAGAAGCTGAGTCCAAAAAGTAGTGAAATAGTGGCTGAGGACAAAAGCTGAAAGGTCAATGAAGAAAACTGAGAGCCAAAGGAGCTGGGTGAATGAATTCATGCTGGGGTAGGCTGGGGTACCCCAATATGACAAGCAGTCTAAGCCAGTGGTGAAATTCAAAAATGTTCCCTACCGGTTCTATGGGTGTGGCTTGGTGGGTACGGTTTGGTGGTCATGTGACTGTGTGGGCCTAGCTTGGTGGTCATGTGACTGGGTAGGCGTGGCTTGGTGGTCATATGACTGGGTGGGCAGGCATGGCCAAATCAATGTCACAATGTAAAAGCAGCTGGACTTCACACAAAATGGCACCTGCAACAAGCAGGAACCTCAGAGACAATCAGACGCAGCTGATTTTTAAAGCATTTTTTTTACTACCAGTTCTGGCAAATAGGTAGTAAAAATGCTTTAAAAAAGTAAAAACAAGTTCCCACGATTGTGTAGCACAGTTGATTATCACACAGCTGATCATCGGATTTATTTTTTTTTAACTTTTTAAAGCATTTTTTACTACCAGTTCAGACAAACCGGCCTGAACCAGCATGGTGCAGGATAGAGATTGGGAGGGGAAATTGGCGGTTGGGGGAGTTGGAAGCAGTCCTTTACCGGAGGCTCTGGGCTGGGAAAGATCAAAACCCAGGTGGGGGCAAGTACTTGCTTGATGATCCATGATTCTTAGTAAACAACTGCAACAGGATGTGCCAGGATTGCTGTCATAAATCAGTGCAGTCATGTGATGTTTCAGACAATAGCAACAAATACAATGATGGGTCTAGAAGCTAAAACCTATGAAGAACACCTAAAGGAACTAAGTATTTTTAGCTTAATGAAGAAAAGATCGATGGGAGACATGATAGTAATCTTCCAATACTTGAAGGGTATTGGGAAAGGGTATTTATTTATTCTTCATAGCACCTTAAAGTAGAACAAGAAGCAATGTGTGGAAACTCATCAGAAGGGGATCCAACCTGGAAATAAGGAAGAATTTCCAGACAGAACTATTTAGCAATAGAACAGCTTTCCTCCCAGAGCTGGGGATGCTCCATTGCTGGAGTTTCTCAAGAAAAGATTGGACTACTATTTCTCTGAGAAGGTATGAGGACTTCTGTCTTGGTCAGGGGGTTAGACTGGAAGAGCTACACGGTCCTTTCCATCTCTGTGATTCTACAAAATGCTACAGAAACTGCCACCCAGCAGGGTGTCTAAATGCAAAAGTGCTTTTTCTCGGAGTGCTGGCTAAGCCTATTTTGGTGGGATTCTTAAAGGGTGTGTTTGTGCATGCTTTTGAGGAACCAAGGTTAAGAATTCTCTATATAAAAGGCTCTTAGAAAAGACTCAAATGCAGCCATTTCTGACTGTACATTGTGCTCTCAGAAATAAACTTTACTTCTGGTTCAAGCAACTGTCTGTATTCTTTACTCTCTGCTTGGAAACAAATTTGGTCAGATTTCTTTTCAACACTCCTATGTATTTACTAATGGCCTCTATGTGTTTTCAGAGAGAAGAGGAATACATCCCATACCCCAGCATCCATGAGGTGAGTCAATGATGGATTCAGTTCATATGTTTTAATTGAACAAAGCTAAATCTGGCTCAGGTTTGTCAGCTAAAGAAGGATCAAGTACCACTTTGGGTGATTGCACATCTGAGTTCTTTGATAGGATTTTTGGTCTCCAGACCTAGTTCCTTTTTTGAGATTAATCCATAGCTATTTCAGGAGGATGAACTCCTTGAGCTCTGAAGTAGAAGGAGGATGCTGAGATATGCTTAATAAAAGTTGTAATCCAATTCATCTGGAAGAAGTGGAGTGAGGAGGGGTGATTTAAAGTGTTCCGGTGTGTATAGCTATGGAATTTGATTAATTTCAAATGCAAGTGCAGATTCCCTGTCTTCTTTCTTAAAAGGTATTACAGAGGGGCTGGCCATACCCTCTAATCATCTTACCACAGTTTGGAGGTTACTGGATTGAAGGGACCTCTCACAGCCTTCCTGTATCAGGCCCTGAATTGCAAGATTTGCCTTCTCCTTGCAGTGGCAAAGTGAGGTTGGAGTGCGATCCAACAGCAAAGCTGTACCGCAAACACTTCCTGGGAAAGGTAACAGTTTATATTATTTAACATACTCCAAACCTTTATATTATAGGTCTTTTCTTTGTAATAATTTGCAGTATAAATCAGTGGATACAACTTGGTTAAGAAAGCAAAACACTATACATCAATGTTAAAAATATTACTTTTCAATTTCAATTTTTATTGAAGATTCAAACTTGAAATTTACTACGTCAACTCAATTTTTAATTTTATTATAATATAGTACTCTACTTGGCTAGAGTAGAGAAAAAAACATATAGAGAACGCAATATTATCAGTATAATATAACTTCAAAATTAATCAACTTCATAATAAAAAATAAAAAAAGGCTTGGGAAATTATGTAATCAACAGCACAGTTCCAAAACTTTATTTCTATTGCTTGAAAGTCTTAAACTATGCTAGAAAAAATGAATTCAAATTCAAACAAACAACACATACCCTGTAAATCAAGAATAGATTTTCTGATAAATCCAAGGTGCTACTGAAAGAAGATAATATATACATTATCATTGTTTGTTAAAGGCATTTGCATAATGAGTTACTTAGCTTACAGTACTAAATAAAACAAAAAAGACTACTAAAATGATATAACAGATTAATTAGCAAAAAATAGCTAGTTCAATTTAAACAGCAAAACTGAAAGTTTCCATTCCTGTGCTTAAAAACATAATGTTTTAGAAATATTACTAATAGCAGAGCAGCCTTGTTCTTTCAATATTTCTCCAATAAATGTGCATATATGTAGGAAATGTGCCTTTCCTGACAGAATATCCACTCCATTTTAGGAATATCCAGTTCTGAAAAAGTGGGAAACACAGAAAATTCAAAACTATTGTAAAAAATGTCACGGCTCTATAAGTCCTTGAAAGAACCATTGATGGCCACTTGGCAAATCCTACAATATGCTGTGACTGTCCCCTTGAAAAAGTGCCTATGTCACAGCAGCATAGCACTTGGACCTATTACTGCAACTCTCTTGTTATTTCAGAGTGGGGGGAAAGAAGGAGTGCCTTCAAGTCAGTCTTGATTCCTGGTTACTTGCTGGATAAGTCTCTGCAGCTTTCCTGGCAAGTGGTTTGTCCTTGCCTGCTTCCTAGGACTGAGAGAGAGTGACTGGCCCAAGATGGCCCAGCTAGCCTTGTGCCTAAGGCAGGATTAGAACTCCCAGTCTTCAAAGTTTGTAGCCTGATGCCTGGGTTACATGAGGTGGGTTAGTCAACATTTGTAGGAGAGACAGAGCCTGTTCATTTATTTGCTCATTTTCAAGCATTGTAAGATAAGACAATCATTTTGATGTCTTTGTTTTAGGAGCATCAGAATTTTTATGCCAATGATTCAGCTTTGGGCTACTTGGTTCTTTCTGTGAAGTATGAACAGGTTGAAGGGCAAGACAATCTTCATCTGTTGCTGAGGTAAAATTGCCCTTTGATGCCACCACCCTCATGATATCACAGGGCTAGTCAGCCTTTCAGTAAGTTCTCCTTCCATTTGTTGGTTTTCTAAAGCTTGTTTTAAATTGGCAATTGCCAGTCCTTGTCCCAGTTTGTTTTTTAGACTTTTCACAGCGAATTGTTCAGTTAGGTTCATTACTGCCGATATAAGAAATGTCCAGAAGTTTCCTTGGTGTTTACACGTAGCAGAATTTGCCACTGTACGTCTTTCTCTCCAGCAAATTAAATTGTGGTGGGAGAAAAGTGGCTGTAACCCATCAGGGATGATTGCTTGGTTGCTCATTAATTTATTCTGTTTTTTCTTGTTGCTCAAACAGAGCTCGAACGTCTACCAAGCATGATCTCATCCCCATCTCCTGCCTGACAGAGTTTCCTAATGCTGTCCAAATGGCCAAGGTAAGTGTTTCAAGCTTTACTCTTTTTCTATCAAAGCCTGGCTTGGGCTTTTGCTATTTAAGTCTCTGCTGTGAAGGTTTCAAATGTTCCATGAAAACTGTGACTCCTCCAATTACATTATTGCAGCAACTATTATGACAATTCTCAAAGGTTGGGTGGAGAACCTTTACCTATTCAGGGATTACATGTGTATGTACAGGCATAAATGTGGAGATATATGTTACCCTTATACCTTTATCCTTCATATATGTCCACATGCAAGATCATGGATCCAAATCAATATATTTCTACAATCTATCCACAGTGGAGAAACAGCAATGTAGAGGAACGTTGGAGGAGGAGAAGAAGCTATAAATTTCTACAGGAATGAAGGATCTATAGAATTGGTTAGATCTAGGTCCCTGATGGATCAGGAAATTTCCTGGATGTACTTGAGGAATTTCCTGCCTCACCTGTCAGCAATATTGTTAAAACCCTGGCCAATTTGTAGAACACAGTTGTCAATATGGTTCTTATGGCCCTCTTCTTTCAGTAGCACCTTGGATTTATCAGGAAAGCTGAGTGCATTTAAGGAAATTGGCGAGGGCTTGAGTATGGGACTGGCTTTATGACTGTGGAAGATGGTTAATTCTTCCATGGGTGATATATGCCTTTCCCTTTAGTTGAAGATCTCAGTTATATCAACTTTATTTTTAAAAAAGCCCTTCCTGGACCTGGAAAATCTTTGAAATTATAGAAAGTATCTACTCATGGATCAGATAACTGAAAAGCTAGGGGCAGCAAAGTTCCAGATGTTTCTTGACATAATTATTTGGATCCATTTCAAATGGAGTTTTTCCTATGAGGCTAAGACTGGTCTGGTTGCCTTGGATTATGCCCTATGGCAGAACCTAGGACAGCGATGGTGAACCTCTTTTGGCTTGCTTGCAATAAGTGGGGGGAGCGCTGGCGGGTTGTGTGCGGGCGTGCCGCACCCATAATGCAATGCACGACCCCCCCCCAGTGGGCATGCACGCACTACAGGCACGACCCCCCATTTTTTCCATGCTTTTTTCGCCCTCCCCAGGCTCCAGAGGCTTTATAGGAGCCTGGTGAGGGCGAAAACAGCCTCCCCCACCTCCCCAGAAGCGCTCCGAAGGCTTCAGGGACCTTCAGGAGGCTTCCCTGAAACCTTCGGAGCAGTCAAAATGACCCTCCGAGCAAACCGGAAGTGCTCAGAGGGTCGTTTTAAGTGCTCTGTAGGCTTCAACTACCTTCAGGAGGCTTCCCTGAAGCCTCCGGAGCAGTCAAAACAACCCTCTGAGCAAACCGGAAGTGACTTCCGGTTTGCTCAGAGGGTTGTTTTGACTGCTCCGGAGTTCAGTCTGTTCCTGAACTTCCGGTTTGCCTGTAGGGCCGGTTTTTCACACTCCAGAGGCTTCAGGGAGCTTATGAAGCCTCCGGAGGGCCTCCGGCGGGGGAGGCTCTTTTCACCCTTCCCAGGCTCCTATAAAGCCTCTGGAGCCTGGGGAGGGCAAAAAATGGCTTTAAAAAAGGGTGAACTCAGCTGACCAGCACGCGCATACGTGTGCTCTGACAAATGGCTCCGCATGCCAACTGTGGCATGCGTGCCATAGGTTCGCCATCCCGGCCCTAGGAGGAAATGAACGTGATCCTTCTAGTTTTCCCGGAATTCTCAAGAGCTGCAATTGCCAACCCCAATGGGTCGATGTGGACCGTGTGCTGGAACTGGTATATTTTGCAGTAATTCAAATCATTTGGATGCACCCCAAAGGTGAGGTTGTGTGAACTATTGCTCAACATCCAGATCCCTGATTTATGAAAATCCAGAGGACTCAATTTCAATTTCATGTTGTTTATCATCTACAAGAAACTGCTGTGGGAGGGCAAATTTGGAATGTCATAATGTCAGCTCCACACACCTCATTATCTATTTCAAAGGAAGCAGTGAGTAATTAGACTGTTGATTAAATTCAGATTAGATGGAGAAAAACAATCTAAAAAAATGTTGAGGTGCTACTGGTAAGAAGAATGTGTGACTTGAAGCTTAAAATGGAATCTGTTTGGAATGGCACTGTTCTCATCTAGAAAGAGCAGATTTCCAGTCTAGGAAAGCCACCTAGATTTGAGCTGTCATTCGGTTGGTAGGTGATAGCTGTGGGGAGAAGCAAGTTTTCACAGCTATAAGCAATGGACTAATCCTAATCACATTCGAGTTACATCCTGTCCCAACTACTGCTTTATGTGGGGCTGCCCTTAGCAGGTTTCTACAAATTGCAACTGATGTAAATTGTTGTGGACAAGCTACTGATTACTGGAAGGAACATCAATCATAAGATTGAGAGATCTTCATTGATTGCCAATTGCATATTGGAGCCATTTACATTTTGGTTTTGACCTTGGCATTCCTAAAAGCTTAGGATATAAATATCAAATTTTCTCAATATAAAGCTTCCAATAGTTTCTTGGCTGGCTCCTTTTCTGTTGAATGGGCTCCTTTGCCCATTGAATCCTTTACTTTCATTCACCTAATGCAGCAATCTTTTCCAACCTGGCAACTCTTCATTTTGGTACCTTTGTAAGATAAATGGAAGAGAATTATTAACATTAATTATTAAGAGGTTGACTTGTGGGGGACTAAGTATAATGGTTTCTTTTCAGCTAACTTGCATGTAAAACTCCCAAGTATATATGCTTCATCCAGTCTTAATAGTGCAACAGTTTAACCAATTACAAGTTTAAAACCTACATTTAATTTCAAAAACCCACATTTAATTGCATTGAAAATGTATAAATGTGAGTTTAATAATTGAACAAGAGAAGGAATAAATTAAAAGACAAATCCCTTACAAATGCAAATCTATTGAAAATACAATGCCTCCTATGACTCGTATTAATCATAATGGCATTTGTCCTTTGGCTAAGAAGTCAGGTTCCTACATTAGGAATGCTAAGTCCTCCTACTTTGCCTTGCAGCTGCTTTGTGAAGATGTGAATGTTGACCGCTTCTTTCCTGTGCTGTATCCTAAGGTAACCCCTATATGTTTCTGAATGTAGAAAAAATATAGATATTTTTTCTCCAACCAGCTGCCTGCTAATTCAAGCTTTTTCTCCATCTCCTAGGCTTCCCAACTCATTGTTGCATTTGATGAACATGTCATCAGCAATAACTTCAAGTTTGGTGTCATCTACCAAAAATTTGGGCAGGTAAAAATACTTTTCACTCTCACACCTGTTGCTCATGTATATGTGGGGAAACTGGAAACAAACTTCAATTCCTTCCATTGCATCCTCCCTCTCTTCTGCTGCTTGTATATAGTCAATTATTTCTTGTTAATCTTACGCCCTCTGTTCTCAGTCACTTCTGCCTTATCTTCAGTCATCAAAAACAGCAGCAGTGAGAAATAATAGGCAAGGTTGGGTGGAAAAAGGTTACTTCAAAGGTTGGAGCCATTTCAGGCCACGTTACTCTTTTTGAAGAAAAGGTCAATTGCCTTTTGGAAAATATAAAGTAGTATACCTATTATTAGAGATGTGGATTTTGGAGGATTTTTTTCTTCTGCAAATGAATTTGATTCTACCTTAATATTTTGCACGTGTATTTGGACTACATTATTTGATGTGAAAAAATCAAAATCTAGTCCATTTAACGATGCATCCACTGTACATTCAAAGAAATTAAAAGCTTTGATGGTGCGGAGAAAAAATGCTTTTAGTGTAACAATGGAAACAATGTTGGGCAATAGATAATCAAATTCCATATAGTTTTGAAACTGCTAAATTTGTTTCAAGTGGAAAATATTCTGCAGAACATTTTGATCTGAGAAAGTTTTCTGATTCCAGAGCTTTGCCGCTTACAGCACAATAACTCTGCCAGCATCTTCATCCTTATGCTTTTGTTTTAAAGTGCCAAATAGAAAATGAGTACTCAAACAGCAATAAAAAAATTAAACAAAATTAACACTTTTTTAAAACTGTAAAACATAGATTAGTAGAGACTGTTTCATGCAGGAAGACACTGGATATACCTCCTCCCTTTGCTGTAAACTTAATATTTATTCCCCCACCCCCACCATACAGAAAGAGTTTTTCAGGCTAAAGTAAAGTAGATATTGAGTTTTCTGTTCCATGTTCAAGTCATACACATTCAGTCTGGAAAATCTTTGTTATTGTTTGAAGAGCTGATCAAATGAAAAAGAGGGGGGGGGGTTTCCTCCAAGAAGACTTATAACCCTACCCTTGTTAACTGTGAGCAGACCAAACTGCTGTTGCTCTTCATTGTTCTGTCATGGTTCTTATGAGGCATCCAGAAGGGCCCTCAGCCAAGAACCACTAGAATCAGCATCAAAATCACTTTTCTTGTGTATTTAAATATTGTGCTCTGCTATACATTAACATAAAGTTTAATTTCAGTGCAGTTTTGAATTACAAAACCAGAGAGTTGTTTTTCATAGGCTTCATGAAGGATATGGCTGGGCCAACCAAGAAAAAAGGCAGTTTGGTACTTGGTACTAGGCCTTGTCTTTAGGCCCATCCTAAATGATGTTCCATCATTCTGTAGGTAAGGAAAAAAATGAAGCATTGAACAGGAAAAGAAGTTTTATTTTTCTACTAACATTTTTAATATTCTTTTTTTCTTAAAAAGCAAATACCGGAATGCATATTTCACCCCAAATACATTTTACTCTGGTAACAATTCTTTAAAGAGGTTGACAAGGCTGGGAAAGAGGCTTGTCCAAAATCACCCAGTGAGGCGAATAACTCACCGTGATTGAACCTGAGCACCTCAGCTGTACACCATTTCAGACTTATATCCTTTGTACAAAAGGATCTTTAGGATAATTTAAGAAATTATAAGAAATGACTGTCTCCTCCCTCTTCCTTTTCTTCTCTTTTTTACTCCCAGACCACAGAGGAAGAAGTCTTCAGTAATACAGAAGAGAGTTTAGGCTTCTTAGAGTTTTTAGATCTCCTAGGCGATAGGATCCAGCTGCAGGATTTTCGTGGGTAAGTGCTTTCCATGTTAAGCCTACTACCAAATTATTTTTCTTGTATTGCTCTTGATGGCCTTCTTTTTAAAATATAATTTAAAATATAATTTTATTGAAGTTTTTAATAAACACAGTAAAAAACAATACAAACTAAACTAGAAGGAAAAAGTGTAGGAAGTGCAGAAAAAAAGAACAAACGGAAAAGAAAAAGGCAACAATAATAATAAGGAAGTGTCTTCCAAGCTTTGTTACACCAAGCTTAAGATAACATTTCACCCTCTTTTAAAGTTACAAATAAAAACCCTTATTTCCATAGCCTAACTATTTATCTGCAGTTCATATAATGTCATCTTTTCAGATGGTTCAGCAAAAGTCCATTAGGAGTTATCAGAAATATTAAACAAATAATTTATCCCTGATCAAACAGTCCAACTTTATATTATTTCTTTTTGCTTTTTACAATTTTAGCCTTTAAATGAGGGGTGTCAACATGCGTCGTCACATGACGTATCGTGACTTTTTTCCTCTTCGCTAAATCGTGGGTGGACGTGGCCAGTGCGTGATGCATCCAGCCCACGGGCCATGAGTTTGACACCCCTGCTTTAAATTATTCCAGTGGGTTTGATTTTTCATCAGTCTTTGGCATTCAAGACATTCCAACCTACTTTATAAATCCCATAAAGAGACCTTGTCCAGGATTCTTGTTGTATCTGTTCCATGTCCAGATCTTTTTCTTGATTTGTTCTTCGTATTCCCATTTTGGTGATCTCAATTTGGTTGTTTCATGCCTTCAAATTTTATAATGTCAATACCTGGTGAAAGTTTTTAATTTTTTTCTCATCTTTTAAAAAATTATCCATTGAAATTTGTATTTATTCTGAGATTTTAGGTAACACTTTGGTCCACTTATCCAAAAACTCTAGGATAAGAAAAAGATTGTAGCCAACGTAGCAATTTTGACTGGAGTTTTTTTGTTTTGTTTTTTGTTTGTTTGTTTGTTTTCTGGCCTGGCCCTTTGTTTACCTCTAGTGTCCATTTGCAACCTTCATCAAGGCTCAGTTCCTAATATGGGTTTACTTCCGTTTTAATCATTTCCAACAATAGCAATAGCAATAGCAGTTAGACTTATATACCGCTTCATAGGGCTTTCAGCCCTCTCTAAACAGTTTACAGAGTCAGCATATTGCCCCCAACAATCCGGGTCCTCATTTTACCCACCTCGGAAGGATGGAAGGCTGAGTCAACCTTGAGCCAGTGAGATTTGAACAGCCGAACTGCAGAACTGCAGTCAGCTGAAGTAGCCTGCAGTGCTGCATTTAACCACTGCGCCACCTCGACAAGAATATTAACAGATTAACAGAGTTGGAAGGGACCTTGCAGGTCATATAGTCCAACCCCCTGCCCAAGCAGGAGACCCTACGTCTATCTCTACCCTAGGATCAAACTCACAACCTCCTGATTGTGAGGCAAGAGCTCCACCTCTAGGCCACAGTAGTCCATAATATTATTTAAGATATTATTTAACTCTAATAACTATAATAAGATATAATTTAACTATAATAAGATATCATTTAACTATAATAACTAAGATATCATTTAACTATCTACTTGTTTTTCAGATCTTATAGCAAAAATAACCGATATTCCTAGTCTCCCAATCCATTTAACTTTCTTAAATGTTTTTTTTTTGCCTTTTGCTTATTGTATTTTATTTGAAAATTCTTAAGTCTCTACTTAGGTTTTGTTAAACCGAAAGAAGTAAGTAAAAGTCACGGGTTCCAAATTCATTTTGAAGATCCCTAATATCCATAAAGTCATTATTAGACTGAACATTTCCAAATATGATTGGAAAGTGAAGTTCAACTAATTTAGTGTCCTTGTTAAAGGCTCTACTGTTGCTGAGAGCAAAGATATTGTCTTCCTCGGCTCCTGGCACTCAAACCCACAGGAAACCATTGTTTTATGGTCTGTTTATAAGGTGCCTACCTTTCAGAGCACTTGTGGGCTCCTGTTCTCTCCTTCTCTGGAGAGCTTTGAAGGACTGGCCTACCCACCAGTCTTTCATTCTACACAGCAGTCATCACTTCCACTCATTCATGGACATGTCTTCAGTCAGGCATGACTCACAGTGGAAGCCAACAGGGAAGATTTCTCACCAGCCCTGAAAGGTACAAAATGACTCAGAATACTTATTAGAGCTTAAGAATAGACCTGCTCTCATCTTTGTGGAGCTTCCCACAGTGCCTTCCTGGTATGGTTTGCCTATAATGATTAAACCATGCTACGACTCTTTTGTTTTCAGGCTAGCACAATGGATAAGCCCATCCAAGGAAACAGCATTTTTTTTTACTTTTTAAAATTAAAAAAATCTATAACTCTCCATCTTCTAAAAAAATCTAAGTGGCTTACAAGTGATAAAACAGTATAAAACCAACAACACTAGAAAGTCATAGCACCACAATTATTCTGCTCTAGTGTATCCATATTCTGATCGTGCCCTATTTCAATGCCTGGTGGAAGAGCCAGGTTTTAAGCCCTCTCCAGAATGATAGAAAGATGGGGGCCTGATGGATCTCAATGGGGAGGATGTGCCATAGGGCAAGAGCTGCACCAGAAAAGGCATGGTTTGAAGGACCCACAAGGTGATAATATATAAGGGAAAGCACCTGCAGTGTACCACCCTGTCCACTCAGATGGGATGGAAAAACACATATTTACTCAGAAATAAATTCTTCTGTAGGCTCCTTGTGAGTCTGTTTGCATCTGTGTGTGCCGTCAAATCAGTGTTGGCTTCTGGCAATTGCCTCAACTAATACCAGCAGTTTTCTTGGCAAAGTTTTCAGAAATAGTTTGCCCTTTCCTGGTCTAAGGCTAACAGAGAGTGACCCACCCAGGTGACTTGTACCTAAAGCAGGAGACTAGATCTGATACTCACAGTATCTTGGTTTCTAGCATCGTGCCTTAACCACTACACCACACTGACTTACAAGTGAGTTAGTTTATCTTTACTAACTTAAAATAGCCCCTCTGGTTCATGCTCAGCCCAAATGATGGAAGGGTGCTGTAATATGCTAATAGGAGGTGAACTGATTCCTTTAAAATACTGAAAATAGAAGGGAAATGAAGCAAATAACAATCTTCAATAATGTGGCCATAGGTTTCCTTAGTGGCCTATTTTGTTTCCTGAGATATGTATCAGACTAAACGTTTTGACCAATAGTAGTAGATGCAATTATTACAGTCATGAATTAGGTCTCCAACTTTGATTAAAAAAAATTAAAAACCCTAATTTTTGTCCTTCTTCTCTTGGCGCTCTTCCCCTTTGCCTTCCCTCTATTGTTCTGTTCAGATTCCGAGGTGGACTGGATGTTACAAGAGGTCAGACAGGAACAGAATCCATCTACACAAATTTCCGGGGCAAAGAGCTCATGTTCCATGTCTCTACAATGTTGCCTTTCACAGAGGGAGATGCCCAGCAGGTATGTTGAGTAGAATTCGGAAAGGGGCAGTCTTTAGATATTGTCAATTTGATGCTAATAAAAATTCACAGAGAAGGACAAGATGGGCTGCAAAATCTCCTTGAGAACCTTCAAATTATCTTAATTGCTTATATTTCCCAGAATGAGAAGGCAGCATGAACTCCCTTCTCAGTGTTTGCAGGACAGACACCCTAAAACCCCATTAATTGAATGCACTCCCTCATATGACTGGAGAAATTGAAACAATGTAGTGTGTATTGTACTTACAGGGATCTCTGTGTTATATTTTGGCCCTTTTACACTAATATTCTGCCAGAATAGATGTGTTAAATTGCTTCCTTTTTAGACCCAAACATTCCAGGGTGCTAGCCAAATACACTATAGTAGCAGTGAAAATTGGGCATTGCAAGGATGACCATGCCGTCTATTATGTTTTACATGTTTTTGTACTTTTGCTCATTGTTGATTGTAAATAAAAAAAATCTGTACTTAAATCTAACTTCCAACTGTGCATGAGTTGGAATTTGACAATGACAAGCCAGGATTCAGGACCTAGTCTTAAATTCAAACTATTACATGGGTTATTTTGAAATCATTCATAAATTACCCAGTTTAGTTGGGTTATGGTCCTTTGCAGTCCTGCATTTTTGCTTATATGCAAAAAGAGAAAATAAAATGTACATAGGTGCAAAATATGTACTTATTCTGTCTTACAGAATTTGATATCAAAATCCTGGCCCAGGGCCATGGTCTCTGCAGTATACTGGTGGAGCTATGATTTTTGTAATTTCTTAGATTTGGTGGGTAGGAATTTGGCAAGTATTCTTTCTAAACATCATTAAGCCTATTTTAGGATTTAGGGTTTTAATTTTAGGTTTAGATTTAGGTTCCTGTTTCCTATTCCAAAATAATAGAATGGCACCATTGTTTTTGAGCAACAGAAATTTCAAGGGATGTCATGATTTGCAGGAGGAAAGATTCTAGTTGTAAATCAACAAACTTTATTTTATTTTATTTATTACATTTTTATGCCATTCATCTTCTACAAGGTGACTATGGACAGACTAGAGCTTGCTATAAACATCCCTCACTTTGGAATAGGATGGAATTGGTTTGTGGATTGCCCAAACTGTAAAGGAGGAGTTACCATTTTGTGCAATCTTCTTTGTTCCTTTTCAGCTCCAACGCAAGCGCCATATTGGGAACGATATTGTGGCCATTGTCTTCCAAGATGAAAATACTCCTTTTGTGCCCGATATGATCGCATCAAATTTTCTACATGCCTATATGGTGGTGCAACTCCATCACAATGCCAGTGGAGAGACACTGTACAAGGTAAAGGCACACAGTACACAATTTACCATTCCTGGGGAAGCCATAGAATGTTCTGTGGCATTAAAGTTGCCTGCTGCATTCTGAATTCCTGTTTTATCATTCTCTAACTTTTCTATTGTCTACTGCTGGACTGTCCTTCTTTTATTCCTCAGCAACAACCATTAGTCTATGCTCATACGTAGCTATTTTATTTTGGGGAGTCTAAATGGGGGTCAAGGGGAAACACCTTCTTCTCCCTTTACTTTCTTCAGAATCTCCAATCCATTCTTGTTCTCATTTTTCAACAAAAATAAAATATATGTATTTCTTCTTCTATTCATGAATAGAATAAAAAGTATGCAACATAACATGGTGAGAGTAATTGTTCTTGATGACAGGTCTCGGAAGAAATACTGCAACTGCATTAAAAAGGGCCTATTACTTTAATGTCAATACTGTACAAATATCCATGTGAAGTAGTAGTATATGGTTTCTGTGATTGTGTGGGTCTATGTGCAAAGGGAGGCCCTCAGTCTCAATGATGTGACCACCATCTTGCCTGTTTTGACCGCCTGGTGGATGCTGTGCCCTTACTTACTTGATATGTAGACTTAAACTTAAAGAGAATAAGGGAACTAAACTAAAGGATACTAATAATTCATTTAGCATTTCAGAATGGCACTGCTTGAATTAACTAGAACTTTTAAAATTCAAGCATCACTAGAACATGAACTGTATCAGGATGTAAACCTAATACTGAATAATCAGTAAATTTATATAAATCTTTATAATATAATAAATATTATATTAAACAGATTTTTTAAGAGTAGAGTAGGAGCAAAAGTTGAGTAGAGTAGAGTAGTTTATTGGCTAAGTGTGATCAGATACACAAGGAATTTATCTCTGGTGCCTAAGCTCACAGTAAACATATTAACAGCAAGTAATAGGTCATAGGTTATAATCATAGTTACAAAAATTAATCATAAGTTACATACAACAACTGATAAATCATAAGAAGCCAATAGGAGAAAATAGTAGGAAAGATGAGAAGAGATAAAATGAAAAATGAAACATTGCTGTGGGGATTAAGTGTTCATCAGAATGATGGCACAGGGGAGAAAACTATCTTTATATCTGGTTGTTTAGCCATGAATGTAATGATGGTTCTAATGTTAGGTGTCTATTTCAAGCCCTTGGAGATAATAGAAACTACTAGAAGGTCTCTACTGTTGATACTATGTTGCCTAATATAAAAGGTGGTAGAATAGGAAAATATATGAAATCTAGACAAAAATTCCTCCTCATGAAATTTGGAAATGTAAGATTATTATATTGGGATATCTAACTGGATAAAATATAAAAAGCAATCAAAGCAGCATAATAAAGTTAAAACTGACTGCAAAGAACTAGAATCAAAAAATCAAAACAATAGCTTAATCAAATGCTTGATTTTTTTAAAAACCCAGCTTTACAATGCTTCCTTCTTCTCCTGAGTCAATGTGGCATAAAAAAGAAACCTATAGGGCTTCCGGTCTGGCGTCACGCTGGAACGGGCTGCTGACAGACTCTCTGTTCGGTTCGCCCGGTCTTTCCANGTGTGTGTGTGTGTGTGTGTGTGTGTGTGTGTGTGTGTGTGTACACTATCATGGCAAATATGTTATTACATACTCTTAAGATTATACAGCAACTAAGTGCTCTGCATTGCAATTTGGACGGTTGGAGAAATGTATTACCGTGGAAACTGAATATAGAGTATGCTCATTCACTTGGAGCCTATACTTGTGTGTCTTTCTTAGGTATTTTTTTGTATGACATTATGAATTTTTGTTGCCTTAAAATGTGTAATCAGAATATCTGAAGTTGTTAAAGGGATAACGGTAAAGGTTCCACTCGCACATATGTGCTAGTTGTTCCTGACTCTAGGGGGGCGTGCTAATTTCTGTTTCAAAGCTGAAGAGCCAGTGCTGTTCGAAGACGTTCGAACAGCACTGTTCAGCTTATTCCTATGTTCCTGAAATCAGTCACCCTAGGTTAGCAGAAGCTGGGGCAAGTAACGGGAGCGGCGCTAGGGATTCGAACAACCAAACTGCCGACCTTTCTGATCGACAAGCTCAGTGTCTTAGCCTCTGAGCTACCGCATCCCATGTATTAAAGGAATAGATCTTACTTTATCTGAAAATTCTGGATTTTATTTTATTCTTTGCTGCATTCTACATAATTGAAATGCTGGGTACTATTGCGGAAATATTCCTGAAAATATTTATAAAATAAAGTATTAACTAAAGAGAAAGCTCTACCTTACAGATTTAAAGTAATGTAAAATGATAACTTTAAAATAAATTCAGATCAGAATCTCTAGTATTGCATATAGGAGACTGTGAGTACTAGAACTGCCTTAGGCATGAAAGCTATCTGTGTAATCTTGGGCTAGTCACCCTCTCTCAGCCCAGTCCAATCTCACAGGGCTGATGATATGGAGAAAATAGGATATTATGCATGCTCATTGCCTTGAATTACTTAAAAAATAATAAAGGTGGGATAATAAATAAATAATAAATAAATAAATACAAACATACATACCCTGTTTCCATGAAAATAAGAGTTCCCCAGATAATAAGCCCAATCTGGCTTTTGTGTGCATGCACTAAAATAAGCCCTCCCCTGAAAATAAGCCCTCCCCCAAAATATAGCAACACAGCAGCAGCCTTGAGGTGACTACACTTGCCATCTCTTGCGTCTCAAAAATAAAAGACGTCCCTGAAGAGTAGGAGTAGGAGGAAGGGAAGAAGGGAAGAAGTAAGGGGAAGAAGAGGAGGAAGGAAGAAAGTAGAGAAGAGAAGGAGGGAGAAAAGAAAGGATAAATAAGGTGGTGCTACAACAGGAGAAAGGGATGGTAAATAAAGCAACCCAAACTGCATATTATAACCTATTAAATGAAATAATAAATGTATAAGAATGATAAATGTAAAGAAGAATAACTTTATGTGAATGTATACTTAAAATGGTATGTAAGAGAGTAAAAAATTTTCAAAGAAAAATAAAAGACCTCCCTGAAAATAAGGCCAAGTGCTTATTTCCAGGGGTCAAAAGAAAATAAGACCCTGTCTTATTTTTAGGGAAACACGGTACATACGTGCATGCATGCATGCATGCGTGCGTGCGTACATACATACATACATACATACATACATACATACATACATACATACATACATACATACATTCTCTAGCATCACATACCCAGAGATGTACAACATCATTACTTCCTGGGCTTAGGTGATTTCTACAAGGTTTCTGCCACTTCATATTTCAATAATTTATGAATCTCAATGGTTGTGGTCATCATTGAGCTGCTTGTGATTCTTTGTGATCAGACATTTCTCCAGGATTACTTGCCAGTATCTGCTTGACTTCTTGTAAATTCATGCTTCTGTCATTAGGGATAGTACCTGGCCTCTGCGGTTCTTTGTGATAGCCTTTGTGTCTTTCCTATCACCAAGGTCTTCTCTAATGATTCTTATTGTCACACCATGCATTGTTAATATTCATACTTTATCTTAATTATTAGAGCTTCCACTCTAGTGATCTGATTTTTACTTCCTCTAGTATTGAATTATTTACTTGTCTTTTTCAATCAGTACTGAATTACTTGTTCCTCTTGTTTTGTTTATTCTCAACCATTCAAGTATTCAAAAGCATCTATTTCCCTTTCTTCAGTGTTCCTGAACAAAATCCAGCTTTCACCATCATATATTACAGCTGCAAAACCGTGGTCTTGACAGTACACACATAACCACATATAAATGTGTGACAAATAAACAGTAAGCTGAACAACAATTTTTCCAGTCTTTTTTACTGTCTCGCGGGCTGAACTATTGGCAATTGAACTTCAATATTATCTCATGGAACACAATTTCCCCACTTTGTACATGTGTTATAAATGTACCATCAATCTCAACTTGTTTTCCTTTTTCTTTTTCTCCTACCCAAATGCATATATTTGGAGTTTTTATCTTCCAAGCATTCTATCACAATCTATGTTCAGCTTATTCCTATGTTCCTGAAATCAGTCACCCCATTCTGACAGAACTGTATATGAAATAACACGTGTCGATCAAGTAGACCTTTGAAAGGCAATCACATTTTACTTTCCTTTCAGCCAAGACCAGATGTTTCTTTACTCAAAATAGAAAATACTGAACAGACACCAGTACTGCCCTTTGTCACTACCCCTTCATGGGGCTTATGCAGGGCTTGGGTAGGGTTAACTAATAATCTATTACCATATTTTACACGCATAGAGGTGATGGGCTGGAGAAAATACTTAGTTATTACATTTAAATAAAAATATTAATTGATTGATTAAATTTATACAGCCACCTATCTTACATACATGACTCTGGGTGGCTCACAGCAATTAGAAACAACAACAGCAGCAGCAACAACAAATACAAATAAAGCCACAAAACATATAAAGCTACGTTAAAACCATATTAAAATGTATATTAAAGTAAAAATAAAAAATATTAATTAATTGATTACATTTATACAGCCACCTATCTCATATACGTGACTTTGTGTGGCTCACAGCAATTAAAAACAAGAACAACAAATAAACAAAGAAATACAAATAAAGCCACAAAAACATATAAAGCTATCTTAAAAACCATATTAAAATTTATATTAAAGTAAAAATAACTGTACCATTTAAATCCAGGTAAGGACTTCCGCTCTGGCGTCACGCTGGAACGGGCTGCTGACAGACTCTCTGTTCGGTTCGCCCGGTCTTTCCATGAGCGTGGCCGTAATAGGCAAGGTCCCTTCGAGGTGCGAGGACCTTTGGAGAGGGGAAACTTCTGTGCAGTGGAGGGTGAAAGGCGATCTCCCCCCACGAAGCAAGAGGCTCCCTCAGANCCCCCCCCCGGTCAAAGGTGTCCCTCTTTTCCAATCTGAAAATCTGGTCGCCTTAGGGGAAAGGGAAGGAAAGGGAAGGAGAGGAGAGGTGAAGGAAAGAGGGAATGAGTGGGAACCAGATGGGAGAATGGAGGGAAGGAGAAGGAAAGAGATGGACTGTCATTGTAAAATTGAAAATGTGATGTATTATAAAGGAAAATGCATAATTTTTAAAAAAGGGTCACTGCTTGGGGATAAAAGTTAGGGTGTTCCTCACACAAGCTGCTTTGAACTCCTCAAGGAATTCTGAGTTGGCAACCCAACAAATCAAGTAGCCAAAACATAAATAAAAGCTATTCTGCTCCCAGACTTTTGACCGAGAGACAGCAGAGAAGAAGCTGGTATGAAACGGGCACCGGATGCTGGGTAGGGTGAGGGCACTTCCCCGCTTTTGCTGCCATTCGGCTCTAGAGAGAGCGGGCTCCAGCCCCCATCCTGCCCACGTGGGTCACTGCCTTTAGGGATCTGTTTTCCCGAGAAAACTGACTGGAACAAAAGATTCACTGGCTGCCTTTGCAACCACCGGTGTGGACGCCTGAAGACCAGGAGGCAGGAGAAGGGAGTAAATCCGTTCCTTTCGGAGCAAAGGGATCTTGTCGTGCTGTTTTTCCTTTGGAGCACTAGGCAGCCCCAGGACAGGTCGACTGTTCCCAAATGCCACCTGCAGGCTTGGTGACGGCTCCCTGAAATAAAGGGATTCCCAGAAAGGCCATGAAAAGTAAGAGGAAAACTGGGGCAGTTTGTCCATGCCTCTTTACACCTTGAATTCAAGCACTCAAGTTTAATATCCCTGTGGGGGGAAAAATGTCTCTGGTGCGGAGAAGTGTGTGGAAATCTGCAGCTAGCCCCCCCCTCTTTTTTTGAAGGCAGTTTCCATTGAAATGGGCACAGACACGTCCAAGGCTGGTCTCCAAGAAGAAACTTCCTTTGCAGTGGCCGCCAGACTGGACCCACAGCAGCCCAACTGGGGGCATGAAAGCACCGTGCTGCAGTCTTCCTCCAACCCTCTAGTCACCAGGCAAGAGAAGGGATCATCTTCGGGCTGCACAAGGGCTCATTGGCCTGCACATCGTTGAAGGCCCGCTGTGGAGAGAGGAGAAGCATAGAATCCTAGGGCTGGAAGGGACCTTGGAGGCCTTAGCCTAACCTCTGCCCCAGATAGACAACCATCAAGCACAAGGGCATTCTAGGCCAGGGATCTCCAGCCTTGGCATCTTTAAGACTTGTGGACTTCAATTCCCAGCTTTGCTGGCCAATGCTAGGTGTTGAAGTCCGCCAGGCTTAAAGTTGCCAAGGTTGGAAACTCCTAGTCTGGAGGAGATGAGGAGAAGGAGCTGATGCTCAAGCAGACCAGAATGGCTTCATCAAGTCTCCTTGCTTGCTTGACTGGGTCAACCAGCCCAGTTGTTCTTTCTCATGCAACATGCTCCCCTCCCCATGGCAATATCCACACACAAGGACACTGCAAACATTAGGAGACTTGGTGACTTTAAGAGCAAAGAAGTTTGATGTGTTGCTGGTTTAGATATTTGATGCTCTTAGCCTGTCCAGTCTGGTTTGTTAGGCATCTTCTCTTGGGGGCGGGGAGAGATTTCCCCCCCAATCCTCTATACAGGGGTCTCCAAACCTGACCACTTTAAGACTTGCAGACTTAAAGTCTGGCTGGATGAGGAATTCTGGGAGTTGAAGTCTTCAACTTGCTGAGTTCGAAGACCCCCTACTCTAGTATAATCTGCTATATCCAGTGGTGCAGAGGTGGGTTTCTGCCAATTCACCCCGGATCGGGCAAACCAGTAGTGGCAGTGGTGGGAGGCTCCGCCAACCCACCCAAACACTTCTGCACCTGCGCAGAAGCATCACACACACGTGCACGAGTAGTAAAATAAATTGAAACCCACCAATGCAGTGGTGGGATTCAGCTGGTTCTCCCTGGTTCGGGAGAACTGGTAGCTAAACTTTCTGAGCAGTTCAGCGAACCAGCTGAATTCTTTCCCAGCTACTCCTTGTCTCGCCTCCTCCTGGCCAGGAGGCCTCCATCCCCAGTTATGGGTAGGAGGGGGGCAATAGCAGGTGTCTTTCTTCCCTGGATCTGTAAACTTGTCTAGATGGAGCAAACTGGCTAGTCTTTGGCTTCTTTGTTTGTTTAATAGCAAAAAAGGGGGGCCCTTTGGGAGGTCTCCCCCCCCCAATTGGGAAAGCGAACCGAGTCACATGACTACCAGCCATGCCTACCCTGTCTCTGACATTATGCCAGAGAACCAGTTGTTAAATTATCTGAATCCCTCCACTGACTGTATCCAACTGTCATCAAGTCAACAATGGCTCAAGCTGGGGATGAATGAACCAGGGGAGGCCAATCTGCACCATTTTTTTTACTACCGGTTCTGTGGCTTGGTGGACATGGTGTGGCTTGGTGACTGTGGCAGGAGAAAGATACTGCAAAATCTCCATTCCCTCCCCGCATCACTAACCTACTTTCCAGCGCTGTTCTCCTATACAGAGCAACAGATGAAGACCCAGCCGATCAGCTGGGACATTGATCAGCTGGGACTCAGGAGGCAGAGAGTAGATGGGGGCGGGGCCATCCAGAGATGGCATTTGCCGATTCTCTGAACTACTCAACGTTTCCGCTACTGGTTCTCCAGAACCTGCTGGATTTCACCCCTGAAATCCACCCTCAATTCCAGAAGACCTACTCTTATCATTCAATTCCCCCCCCCACTCTAGAATTGTTATTCCCTGCAAAAGGGGCATGTGACTTGTCTCTGCTTTTTTCACGAGGAGCAAAAGAATTTTGCAGACAAACTTGAACTGGGGAGTGGCGGAAAGAAGAATGTGTCTAACCTGCAGGGGCAGCTAAATTATCTAGCATCCAAGCCAAGGGGTATCAAATTACAAACACAGAAAGATTTACAACTTTAAATCACCAAGTACGCGGTGTCATATTACAGCCAGAGACAGCAGAAGGAAAACACTACATTGACAACAGGAAGAGATTGATGGGTGAGTTCTAAATACTTCCTGGCCTCTCCTGCACCCTGTCGTATCACGCTGAAACGTTTCTCTTCCTGACTCTCCCAGATACTATAGAATTAACTGAGCCTATATTTCACAGCCCTGCTCCAGCTTAATTACCTTGTATGTACCCCGGGCTCTGTATAACTACTCAAACAGCATTCAGAAGGCACTAGACTTACACCTTAAAGGGGAAGAGCTGAATCAAAGCAAATGGCAACAAAAACAGTAACTTTAATTAAAGGGAGTAAAAAGCAAACTCCCCTATCTACCCCGGTGAGGGAAAAG